GCCCTAGCCGCAACCCTAGTAGACATCATTGGAATGTACCAGAATGAGTCAGGTCTTCTCAACCAACATCTCCATAAAGACATGGTTTGACCAGCTTGGTGTGGAAGAACTTGAGAGTCCTGTACAGAGCCCTGACCTCAACCCTACTGAACTCCTTTGACAAAAAATGGGTTTTGAGCCAGGTCTCCTCATTCAGCATTAATACCAGACATTACAAATGGGATACATTCCCACAGACACCCTCCAAAATTGTGTGGAAAGTCTTCCCAGAAGAGTGGAGGATGTTATAGTACCAAGATGATGATGTAACTTCATATTAACATCAATGGTTTTGGAATGGGGGGTGCATATTAATGACCATGATTTTGGAATGGGATGTCCAACAGCTCAACCTTGTGGTAACAGTTTGGTGAAGACCCTTTTCTGTTCCACCATGAATGTGCACAAAGCCCTGACCTCAGCCCTACTGAAGACCTTTGGGATGGATTGGACCTCTGATGGTGAGCCAGGTATTCTCATCCAATATCAGTACCTGACCTCACAAATGAGACATATTCCCACAGACACCCTTCAAAATCTTGTGGAAAGTCTTCCCAGAAGAACGGGGGACGTTACAACGGTTTAGAACGGAATACCCAACAATCTCATATAGGGGTGATGGTCAGGGGCAGCCAGACCAGTGTAGACTTGTGGCACTGGAACTGCAGCTATCCGAATGAAGTATCTGTGGAGGGGGAGGGTGGGTTAGGTTTGGTCGGGGCAAAGTAGATGAAGACACCTCATCTTAATCGCACGTGTCCTATGAAGCTGAATGAAGAACCATTGGCTCTTGACTGACATTACGGCCTCTGTGGACTTGTATTGCCTAATGCCCAGTTCCCTGAAGCTGCCTCTCTGCCGAGCACATTTCATAATCCTCTGGTCAGGATGCCTCTTCCTTATTTTCCCCAAACCACAGGCAGTTATGTCATAATGTGTCATCTTGCATCTAATGTCATCATTTTCCCTCATCGTTCTGAATTGTCAGCATTGTCACAAATGATTGTAACCAGCAGACTCAAACACCACAAACTCACAGACCAGCTTTGACCGTGGGAGTGAAGCTGGACACAAGGTGTAGGTCCATCTGAACCTACGATAGGACATTTCCCACCGGCGTAGAGCTGAGAAGGCACACAGGTGTACGGCAGGAGGGTTCCTCCTTCCTTTTTCTACAGGACGTCCATCCAAGATCTGATTTAGGAGGATACAGCTACCTTTCAGCAGGACAGTTGCCATTCATGAACAGTGGGTTGTCCTGCTATTAGGCGGATATGGACCTCTTTCATACCTGAGGACCTACCGTCTGGTAAGTCACCTCTTTCTCTTTTGGGTGGAGGCAGGGGCGGACTGACCAATCGAGCAGTCGGACACTGCCCGAGGGCCCAGGGTCAGTAGGGGGCCCCATGAAATGCCCCTGGTACCTTTTTATAGGCTTTTTTGGGTGTGCTTTGAGTGTGGGCAAGGACACAGGGGCCCCATGATCCCCTACTGACTGGGGGCCCCATGGGTTGTCAGTCCGCCCCTGGGTGGAGGCCATGCTGCAGTTTTACCTTCACAGTGATGACTTTCAGCTAATTTGATGTCGCAGGCTTAACATCCGGAGGAAAGGAGATTTAAACAACCACATACTGAAAGGCTTCTTCACAGTAAGAGCTGTGAAAATGTGGAACAGGCTTCTTCAAGAACGCGTTATGTCCAGCTCAGTAGATTGTTGTTGTTTTTTTTAAAAAAAGAGTTGGATTCTTTTCTTTCCTCAAGGCATAAAATGTAACTAGATACTAATAGTTATAGGTAAAAACACAAGGGGTAGGTGATCCAGGGAATAACTGCCCACATGGAAGAAAAATTAAAAAATACACTTGAAATATATTTTAAAAATATTCTTCCCAAATATATTGACATATATTTGAAATGCTACAATTTTGGCCATATTCAATTTATTTCAAAATATATTTCAATAAACATATATATATATGTTGAAATGCATTTTTATTACAAAATATATGAAAAATGGAGAGAAGACTGAGCAGCAGAGGGATCAGCAGAGCTGGGGGACCAGAGCAAGAGAAGCTAGCAATGTCACATGTGATGTTCAGCATAGAAGCAATATAGTAGGAGGTGAGCAAGGATCAGAGAGAGAGAGGAGGATCAGCAAACCAGAGGATCAGCAGAGCTGGGGGTTACTAATGAGTGGAGGATCAGCAGAGCTGGGGGTCACTACTGATTGAGGGGGTCAGCAGAGCTGGGGGTTACTATAGAGCAGAGGATCAGCAAATATGGGGTTTACTAGTGAGTGGATCAGCAAAGCTGGGGATTACTACTGAGCATGGGATCAGAAGAGCTGGGGGTTATTAGTGAGTGGAGGATCAGCAGAGCTGGGGGTACTACTGAGTGAGGGATAAGCAGAGCTGGGGCTTACAGCTGAGCAGGGGATCATCAGAGCTGGGGGGGGGGACTACTGAGCAGGGGATCAGCAGGGCTGGATCTTACTACTAAGGGGGAGATCATCAGAGCTGGGGGTTACTACTGAGCAGGGGGGTCAACAGAGCTGGGGGTTACTACTGAGCAGGGGCATCATCAGAGCTGGGGGTTACTAATGAGTGGAGGATCAGCAGAGCTGGGGGTCTCTACTGATTGAGGGGGTCAGCAGAGCTGGGGGTTACTATAGAGCGGAGGATGAGCAAATATGGGGGTTACTAGTGAGTGGATCAGCAAAGCTGGGGATTACTACTGAGCAGGGGAGCAGAAGAGCTGGGGGTTATTAGTGAGTGAGGGATCAGCAGAGCTGGGTATTACTACTAAACAGGGGATCATCAGAGCTGGGGGTTACTACTGAATGGGGGATCAGCAGAGCTGGGGGGTTACTACTGAGTGAGGGATCAGCAGAGCTGGGGGTTACTTATGAGTGGGCACCAGCAGAGCTGGAGGTTACTACTGAGGGAGGGATCAGCAGAGCTGGGGGTTACCACTGAGCAGGCATTTGCCAAGCTTCATTAAAGCTTCAGAAAAGCATGTGGAGGTGATAGGAAGTTCAATGTGTATTATAATTAGAGATGAGCGAATTATTCAAAAATTCGATTCGGCTCATTCGGCGAATTCGCGGAATAAATTTGATTCGAGTCGAATATATTCGCTGTGAATTTAACTTATAAAAGGGTGTTTCTAGGCTTCAGAGAGACTTAATATTAGTGCAGAACACTGTACCTTTAATTTAAATGCCCTTGGAGTCTGCTGGGGAAGAGAAATAATACTGTCAGTCAGTATGACATGCAGATGAGTGCCGTCCATCTTAGAATCACCGCACACTTCACTCATTTGGCCAGTCACGGGGCCAAAACCAGAGTGTGGAGCCACAGTGTGGCGGTGGAGGCAGCAGCAATGGGAGGCCATACAGCACCCTATGACAAAATGGAACCCACCAGCAGTGTGAGGAGACCTGAAAGTGGCACATGGCAGAGTGTGGCGATGGAGACAGCAGCAATGGGAGGCCGTACAGGGACCCATGACAGACTCTGGACCTGGCAGCAGCATGAGGAGGCGGTACGGGGGCCCATGACAGATTCTGGACCTGGCAGCAGCGTGAGGAGGCGGTACAGGGACCCATGACACACTCTGGACCTGGCAGCAGCATGAGGAGGCGGTACGGGGGCCCATGGCAGATTACGGGCCTGGCAGCAGCATGAGGAGTCGGTACGGGGGCCCATGGCAGATTACGGGCCTGGCAGCAGCATGAGGAGGCGGTACAGGGGCCCATGGCAGAGTGGCGGAGCGTAAGCAGCTAAAATTGAAGGCCATACAGAGGCCTAGGTTAAAAAGTCCCCCCTGAGTAACGATTCTGTGTCCCTGAGTAACGATTCTGTGTCCCTGAGTAACGATTCTGTGTCCCTGAGTAACAATTCTGTGTCCCTAAAGTCTCTGTGGCCCTAACTCTGTCCCTTAATACACACAGGTCTGTCTCTCTTGAATGACCGGAGGCTAATGGAGAATTCTAAGATGGCCGCGATTTATAGCTCCACCATTACACAGTGCTGGCTGGCTGCTGATTGGCTAATGCAATCACATGTCATGAATGCATTATGGGTCAGCGCGCCTTGTCTGCGCGCCTTCCCAGAGATCCCCGCCCCATCTTCTCTGTCCATTTTCTCCGTCGCCACACATGTCGCCGCCATTTTTGGGAAAATTCGATTCGTGCATCCGAAGTTTGCTAATCTTCAGATTCGTCGCGAATAGAATTTTTCCAAATCTTCGGAACGAATTCCACTTCGTCATGTTCGATTCGCTCATCTCTAATTATAATGGAAGGAAGTGCAATGAGTCCGAAGTGACGGCAGATCTCTGCAACAAAAATCCCAAAAACATCAATGACAACATTGTAACCTTTAGGTGGAAATTTTGCAATTTGCATTGAATTACAACATCATCGAGTCTGAGAAATGATACATTGTATGGAATTACTGCAGATTAATATCTGACATAAGGAGGGATTCATGGTAAAAAAAACACAAAATGCAACATTGTCTATATTTTCCATAACTCTATTCAAAGTAAACAAAAGAAGTCATTCACCTTCATATGTCACAGAAGAATGTCCCTTACATTGGGGGTCAGTGGGAAGAATGTCCCTTACATTGGGGATCAGTGGGAAGAATGTCCCTTACATTGGGGGTCAGTGGGAAGAATGTCCCTTACATTGGGGGTCAGTGGGAAGAATGTCCCTTACATTGGGGGTCGGTGGGAAGAATGTTCCTTACATTGGTGGTCAGTGGGAAGAATGTCCCTTACATTGGGGGTCAGTGGGAAGAATGTCCCTTACATTGGGGGTCAGTGGGAAGAATGTCCCTTACATTGGTGGTCAGTGGGAAGAATGTCCCTTACATTGGTGGTCAGTGGGAAGAATGTCCCTTACATTGGGGGTCAGTGGGAGGAATGTCCCTTACATTGGGGGGTCAGTGGGAAGAATGTCCCTTACATTGGGGGTCAGTGGGAAGAATGTCCCTTACATTGGGGGTCAGTGGGAAGAATGTCCCTTACATTGGGGGTCAGTGGGAAGAATGTCCCTTACATTGGGGGTCAGTGGGAGGAATGTCCCTTACATTGGGGGTCAGTGGGAAGAATGTCCCTTACATTGGGGGTCAGTGGGAAGAATGTCCCTTACATTGGAGGTCAGTGGGAAGAATGTCCCTTACATTGGGGATCAGTGGGAAGAATGTCCCTTACATTGGGGATCAGTGGGAAGAATGTCCCTTACATTGGGGATCAGTGGGAAGAATGTCCCTTACATTGGGGATCAGTGGGAAGAATGTCCCTTACATTGGTGGTCAGTGGGAAGAATGTCCGTTACATTGGTGGTCAGTGGGAAGAATGTCCCTTACATTGGTGGTCAGTGGGAAGAATGTCCCTTACATTGGGGGTCAGTGGGAAGAATGTCCCTTACATTGGGGGTCAGTGGGAGGAATGTCCCTTACATTGGGGGTCAGTGGGAAGAATGTCCCTTACATTGGGGGTCAGTGGGAAGAATGTCCCTTACATTGGGGGTCAGTGGGAAGAATGTCCCTTACATTGGGGGTCAGTGGGAAGAATGTCCCTTACATTGGGGGTCAGTGGGAGGAATGTCCCTTACATTGGGGGTCAGTGGGAAGAATGTCCCTTACATTGGGGGTCAGTGGGAAGAATGTCCCTTACATTGGAGGTCAGTGGGAAGAATGTCCCTTACATTGGGGGTCAGTGGGAAGAATGTCCCTTACATTGGGGGTCAGTGGGAAGAATGTCCCTTACATTGGGGATCAGTGGGAAGAATGTCCCTTACATTGGTGGTCAGTGGGAAGAATGTCCCTTACATTGGTGATCAGTGGGAAGAATGTCCCTTACATTGGGGGTCAGTGGGAAGAACGTCCCTTACATTGGGGGTCAGTGGGAAGAACGTCCCTTACATTGGGGGTCAGTGGGAAGAAGGTCCCTTACATTGGGGGTCAGTGGGAAGAACGTTCCTTACATTGGGGGTCAGTGGGAAGAAGGTCCCTTACATTGGGGGTCAGTGGGAAGAATGTCCCTTACATTGGTGATCAGTGAGAAGAATGTCCCTTACATTGGGGGTCAGTGGGAAGAATGTCCCTTACATTGGGGGGTCAGTGGGAAGAATGTCCCTTACATTGGGGGTCAGTGGGAAGAATGTCCCTTACATTGGGGGTCAGTGGGAAGAATGTCCCTTACATTGGGGGTCAGTGGGAAGAATGTCCCTTACATTGGGGTTTAGTAAATTTCAGTCCTTAGTCTGCTGTTATGATCCTGCCATGGAGGTCCGTGTTCAGGCACTTCCTATAACAATGTGACCGCACCCTGTCCCTTTCTCCCAGCTGCCCTCTTGTGTTGTCACCCATCACATGTGTCTCTGATATATAGACTGTTGTCACCATCAGGAAACGTCATGTGATCATCGCATGTAGATGGGAAGCGGCTGTATGAGATCCGCAGCTCTAAGACACAAAGGAACACAGAAATGCTGAAATCAGCTTCTGATACAGAAATCAAACCAAACGTCACATAGTGGGGGATTTAGCCATGGGGGGGGGGGAGTGATTGCAGGGAGGCGCAGAGCTCCCCCTACTGGCCGATTAACAAATCTCTATGTTTACTATAATAATAATGTGGTTCCAAAAGTACGCCAAAACCTGAGCGCCGAACTACAAAACAGACCCTTAGGGAGACACGGCAAGAAGGGTTCAAACATATGAATGGAAATACACCATTGTACATGTCAAACACAAGGCCTATGGGCCGAATTTCCCTTCAGGCCATTTCCTGTGGCCCTTGCACCTCTCCTGCAGGTACCCCCTTGTCTCCACCTCAGCCATCAGCAGCAGAGAGGACAATCCTGCACCTCTCAGCACCTTATCTCTGCCTCCCCCGGTCTCAGCATTCAGCAGACTCTGGTAACTGACTCCACTCCTCCTCTGGTCCTCCTCCAGACCCGGCACTTTCTGCTTCCCAGCTCCGCCCCCAAAGGGGGTGCACGGGGATGTTAGGGTGGGTGGAGATTTTTGACATCTGATGTAACAAAGGGTGGGGTGCTTTGGACAGATAAAACCGGCCCTTTGTGGGCAACCATAATGCTGATACATAGCTACGTAGTCTGGCTGAAAAAAGACATCCATCCATTCGTCCGTCCATCCATCCATCCGTCCGTCCATCCATCCGTCTATCCATCCGTCCATCCATCCATCCCTCCGTCCGTCCATCCGTCCGTCCATCCATCCGTCCGTCCATCTGTCCGTCTGTCTATCCGTCCATCCATCCATCCGTCCATCCACCCGTCCGTCCGTCCATCCATCCATCCATTTGTCCATCCGTCCGTCCGTCCATCCATCAATCCGTCCGTCCGTCCATCTATCCGTCCGTCCGTCCATCCATCCGTCCATCCGTCCGTCCATCCATCCGTCCATCTATCCATCCGTCCGTCCATCCATCCATCCGTCCGTCCGTCCATCTGTCCCTCCGTCCGTCCATCCATCTGTCCATCTATCCATCCATCCATCCATCCGTCCGTCCGTCCCGTCCATCCGTCCGTCCGTCCGTCCATCCATCCGTCCATCTATCCATCCGTCCATCCGTCCGTCCATCCATCCGTCCATCTATCCATCCGTCCGTCCATCCATCTATCCATCTATCCATCCGTCCATTCGTCCCGGCCCGCGATGAAATGGAATTTGACACCCTTGCACTATGGGTTCCCTTTAAGATGTGCTTTCCCAAGCTAATCCTCCTCAGCTGCACAAAAATCCCCCCCCCCCCCGCCCCCCCAGGTCAGAGAATTCTTCATGCAAATATCTGTGCCAGTCAAAATGCGGCAAACCTGCGATCTTATCTTCTCCGCACTCAATTTGTTGTAAATGATGTGACAGACGCAGTCATGTGACCTCCATGTACCATTGTTACCCGTAAATGGCTTCAAAATAAACAGCCGGACCAGTCTGATTGGTTGTTGGGTTCTGACAGCAACTTCTTCCCACCGAACCAGTTCAGCTTCCCCCCCCCCCCCCTCCTGTGCACCCCTCGGGGGTCCAGAGCAACCCTCTCCTCTCCCCTGTGCACCCCCCACCCCTCGCGGGTCCAGAGCAACCCTCTCCTCTCCCCTGTGCACCCCCCCCTCCCCCCATGCACCCCCCACCCCTCGGGGGTCCAGAGTAACCCTCTCCCCTGTGCCCCCCCCCTCTTCCCCCGTGCACCCCCCACCCCTCGGGGGTCCAGAGCAACCCTCTCCTCTCCCCTGTGCACCCCCCCACCCCTCGGGGGTCCAGAGCAACCCTCTCCTCTCCCCCCCGTGCACCCCCCACCCCTCGGGGGTTCAGAGCAACCCGCTCCTCTCCCCTGTGTACCCCGCCTCCCCCCGTGCACCCCCACCCCTCGGGGGTCCAGAGCAACCCTCTCCTCTCCCCTGTGCACCCCCCCTCTTCCCCCTTGCACCCCCCACCCCTCGGGGGTCCAGAGCAACCCTCTCCTCTCCCCTGTGCACCCCCCACCCCTCGGGGGTCCAGAGCAACCCTCTCCTCTCCCCTGTGCACCCCCCACCCCTCGGGGGTCCAGAGCAACAACCCACTCCTCTCCCTGTGCACCCCCCCCCTCCCCCCGTGCACCCCCCACCCCTCGGGGGTCCAGAGCAACCCTCTCCTCTCCCCTGTGCACCCCCCCACCCCTCGGGGGTCCAGAGCAACCCTCTCCTCTCCCCTGTGCACCCCCCTCCCCCCCCCGTGCACCCCCCACCCCTCGGGGGGTCCAGAGCAACCCACTCCTCTCCCCTGTGCCCCCCTCCCTCTTCCCCCGTGCACCCCCCCCCCCCTCGGGGGTCCAGAGCAACCCTCTCCTCTCCCCTGTGCACCCCCCACCCCTCGGGGGTCCAGAGCAACCCTCTCCTCTCCCCTGTGCACCCCCCACCCCTCGGGGGTCCAGAGCAACCCTCTCCTCTCCCCTGTGCACCCCCCTCTTCCCCCTTGCACCCCCCACCCCTTGGGGGTCCAGAGCAACCCTCTCCTCTCCCCTGTGGGCCCCCCACCCCTCGGGGTCCAGAGCAACCCTCTCCTCTCCCCTGTGGGCCCCCCACACCCCTCGGGGGTCCAGAGCAACCCTCTCCTCTCCCCTGTGCACCCCCCACCCCTCGGGGGTCCAGAGCAACCCTCTCCTCTCCCCTGTGCACCCCCCTCCCCCCGTGCACCCCCCACCCCTCGGGGGTCCAGAGCAACCCACTCCTCTCCCCTGTGCACCCCCCCTCCCCCCCCATGCACCCCCCACCCCTCGGGGGTCCAGAGCAACCCTCTCCTCTCCCCTGTGGGCCCCCCCCACCCCTCGGGGGTCCAGAGCAACCCTCTCCTCTCCCCTGTGCACCCCCCCCCCTTGGGGGTCCAGAGCAACCCACTCCTCTCCCCTGTGCACCCCCCACCCCTCGGGGGTCCAGAGCAACCCTCTCCTCTCCCCTGTGCACCCCCCCCTCCCCCCCGTGCACCCCCCCACCCCTCGGGGGTTCAGAGCAACCCGCTCCTCTCCCCTGTGTACCCCCGCCTCCCCCCGTGCACCCCCACCCCTCGGGGGTCCAGAGCAACCCTCTCCTCTCCCCTGTGGGCCCCCCACCCCTCGGGGTCCAGAGCAACCCTCTCCTCTCCCCTGTGCACCCCCCACCCCTTGGGGGTCCAGAGCAACCCACTCCTCTCCCCTGTGCACCCCCCACCCCTCGGGGGTCCAGAGCAACCCTCTCCTCTCCCCTGTGCACCCCCCCCTCCCCCCGTGCACCCCCACCCCTCGGGGGTCCAGAGCAACCCTCTCCTCTCCCCTCTGGGCCCATTCATTCCGCAATAACTGTAATTAGTGAGATAATAGAATAATAATTGTTTTGGTTTTCTTTCGGTATTATTTATGTGTAAATATAACAAAACTACATACAGTATATATATATATCCCCCCCCGGACTGTATACAATGTATATATATATATCCCCCCTCCCCCGGACTGTATACAATGTATATATATATATCCCCCCCCAGACTGTATACAATGTATATATATATATATATCGCCCCCCCGGACTGTATACAATGTATATATATATATCCCCCCTCCCCCGGACTGTATACAATGTATATATATATATCCCCCCTCCCCCGACTGTATACAATGTATATATATATATCCCCCCCCCAGACTGTATACAATGTATATATATATATCCCCCCTCCCCCGGACTGTATACAATGTATATATATATATCCCCCCCCCAGACTGTATACAATGTATATATATATATATATCGCCCCCCCGGACTGTATACAATGTATATATATATATCCCCCCTCCCCCGGACTGTATACAATGTATATATATATATCCCCCCCCCCCCTGGACTGTATACAATGTATATATATATATATCCCCCCCCCAGACTGTATACAATGTATATATATATATCCCCCCTCCCCCGGACTGTATACAATGTATATATATATATCCCCCCTCCCCCGGACTGTATACAATGTATATATATATATCCCCCCCCCCAGACTGTATACAATGTATATATATATATCCCCCCCCAGGACTGTATACAATGTATATATATATATCCCCCCTCCCCCGGACTGTATACAATGTATATATATATATCCCCCCCGTCCCCCGGGACTGTCTATACCATGTATATATAGATATCCCCCCTCCCCCGGACTGTATTTACAATGTATATATATATATAAATTGTCTTTTTTGAACCCCAAAAACAACTGATGTAAAGCTTGTAAGTTTTACACTCCATTTTATATACCAAAATCACATTCCCCACCTCGCCCCCGTACGGATACATTTGTATATATATATATTAACAAATACCT